CGCCTTGTGCGCCCGCGCCAGCAGCACGGCGTGGCAGCGCAGCACCACGGCCTTGTGGCGCGCCTGGTGGCGGTAGACCCAGGCGAAGACGCGCGGGTGGCGCCCGTCCGCCGTGCAGTAGGTGATGCGCGGGAGCAGGTAGGCGTGCGCCGGCCTGCGGCCCCCCGAGCCCCCAGCGGCGCCCCGCTCGCACGGCTGCATGCGGATGCCGTGCGGCCCCAGCGTCAGCTTCATCTTGGTGCCCCCGCCCGGCCCGCAGCGCGCCCAGATCTTGCCCACGGCGTCGTCGGTGCAGCCGTCGCCCTTGGCGTGCAGGGTGACGGCGTTGCCCAGGTACCACACGGTGTAGGTCGGGTCCTCCTTGTTGAGCTCCACTTTCTGGCGCCGGCTGCGGAACACGCGGCTCAGGCGCTCCAGCGGCCAGTCGGGCAGCAGGTCCGGGCAGGAGCGCAGGAAGCTGGAGAGCAGCGACGTGTAGGCGAGCCCCGGACTCAGGCTCTTCGCCTTGCACTTGGCCTCGTCCTCCACCAGCACGAATTTGTTGCGTCTCCAGGGCAGCATCGCGGCTGCGGCCAAAGGGGCTGGCGACGCGAGGAGCCGAGGGGCGTCCTGCCAGGCGGCCGGGGGAGGGGAAGGCGCACAGAAGCCCACCGCCCTGGAGTCGCGAGAAGCAGGGAGGCGCCGCAGACAGCCGGTGCCCGAGATGCCAAGTGCCAGGCGGGGCTCGCTTCCCAGATGCCCGGTGCCCGGCCGGGCTGGCAGCCGAAATGCCCGGGCGGCGGCCGGGCGGCCGGGAACAGATTCCCCCGGGAGTGGCTCCAGCCGTCTGGGAGGCAAGGAGGGGCAGGGGCTGGGGGTGACGGACGCCCCCAAGCCCGAACAGGGGGAGTTCCCGCGGTCCCCGCCGCCCAGATTGCGGCGGCAGGGAGGTCGCCGGAGCCGGGGTGGGGTAGACGAGAGCGCGGCTGCGGTGGGGACTCCTCCAGGCGTCGCGGCTCCACCTCCCCGGGCTGCCTACATCACCGGGCGGGACCGCTAATCTCTAGTCCCCGCCTTGTGCGCCCGCGCCAGCAGCACGGCGTGGCAGCGCAGCACCACGGCCTTGTGGCGCGCCTGGTGGCGGTAGACCCAGGCGAAGACGCGCGGGTGGCGCCCGTCCGCCGTGCAGTAGGTGATGCGCGGGAGCAGGTAGGCGTGCGCCGGCCTGCGGCCCCCCGAGCCCCCAGCGGCGCCCCGCTCGCACGGCTGCATGCGGATGCCGTGCGGCCCCAGCGTCAGCTTCATCTTGGTGCCCCCGCCCGGCCCGCAGCGCGCCCAGATCTTGCCCACGGCGTCGTCGGTGCAGCCGTCGCCCTTGGCGTGCAGGGTGACGGCGTTGCCCAGGTACCACACGGTGTAGGTCGGGTCCTCCTTGTTGAGCTCCACTTTCTGGCGCCGGCTGCGGAACACGCGGCTCAGGCGCTCCAGCGGCCAGTCGGGCAGCAGGTCCGGGCAGGAGCGCAGGAAGCTGGAGAGCAGCGACGTGTAGGCGAGCCCCGGACTCAGGCTCTTCGCCTTGCACTTGGCCTCGTCCTCCACCAGCACGAATTTGTTGCGTCTCCAGGGCAGCATCGCGGCTGCGGCCAAAGGGGCTGGCGACGCGAGGAGCCGAGGGGCGTCCTGCCAGGCGGCCGGGGGAGGGGAAGGCGCACAGAAGCCCACCGCCCTGGAGTCGCGAGAAGCAGGGAGGCGCCGCAGACAGCCGGTGCCCGAGATGCCAAGTGCCAGGCGGGGCTCGCTTCCCAGATGCCCGGTGCCCGGCCGGGCTGGCAGCCGAAATGCCCGGGCGGCGGCCGGGCGGCCGGGAACAGATTCCCCCGGGAGTGGCTCCAGCCGTCTGGGAGGCAAGGAGGGGCAGGGGCTGGGGGTGACGGACGCCCCCAAGCCCGAACAGGGGGAGTTCCCGCGGTCCCCGCCGCCCAGATTGCGGCGGCAGGGAGGTCGCCGGAGCCGGGGTGGGGTAGACGAGAGCGCGGCTGCGGTGGGGACTCCTCCAGGCGTCGCGGCTCCACCTCCCCGGGCTGCCTACATCACCGGGCGGGACCGCTAATCTCTAGTCCCCTCCCCTCGCCCTCCTCTGTCCCCTCCCCCCACGCAGGCTCGCGCAGCCCGGGACCCGGCACAGGCGCGGTGGAACGAGTTTAGTCACTACTACTGGAGGGGTGGGGGTTAGGGGGCGGTTCAAGAGGACGAATGCCCTGAATTGTGCCGGAGCACTTTGCCAATGCAAATTTCTTTGACCTCACTAGTGGTCCCCAAGCCCCCGTGGCGCGCTCGGAGACCCCCCCTCACCCCCTTCTAGGATTCCTGCTGCTCCTTACCCACAGCATCCCCCTATTCCCACCCCTGAGAGCGGGATTTGGGGTGGGTTCATGATGGGGCCGGCCTGGCGCACTTTGCCTCCCGTCTGCACAGCATAAGCCAGCTGAGGTGGCCGAGCAGTGCGGTGGAAAAGTACTGTCGCCTGGTGAAGCTTTCTCCCAGGTTCCTCCAAGGTCGTGGGCCAGGCTGCTGCGCCTGAGCTGGGGGACCGGTCACTGTTCCAGCGGCTGGCAGTGCCCATCGCCTGGACTGAAGCAGGGAGAGTATACGCTTTGAGGGTGGGGGAACCTTCTAGCTCAGTCCTGTGCCTGTGGGAGTTGCACGTGAAAAGCTCCTCCTGGCCAACGGGCGGCCTCTGGGCTCTCCCCGGATTAAACAGATAGACTCCTATTTGTGAGCTCCGTAAGCGTTCTCAGGTGTTTAGTATTCATTATCTCATTTAATCCTCAGGACAGCCCAGGCTCAGTTAAATGACTGGCCCAAGGTCCCAAGGCTGGTAGGAAGTGGAGTGAGGGCTCCACCCAGGCCTGGGTGGCCCCCACCCTTCTGTGAGTCCACCAGGTGCTGGTAGGGATGGGGCGTTCTCCATCCACCCCTGGGACCCCCAATGAGAAGTGACTGGCTCTTCCCAGGGAATGGTTCTGGTGTACTGACAGTTGTCCTGGGTGTGGGGACACATCTCCCCCTTTCAGGATTTAAGCCACATGCTCCCTAGAGTCTGGGGACTGCTGTGATGTGGGCTCAGGAGGCTTATCTCCTTGAGCTCTTATAGAGCCAACCCTCAAGCTTTATTCTTTGGCTTCTAAATAGGTCATCTGTGGTTCCTCCAGGTCCAAGTGAGCACAGGTCTGGGCTGGGGCTGAATTCAGAGCCCTGAGGCTTGGGGGCAGGGCCAGACCAAACCATGTGACCTCCAAGAGTGGGGGTGGGGTGGGGGAGATGGTGTGCTCTGTGGCTGCCAGTAGCATTCTGGGCCAGAGTGGTGAGTGGCTGGGTTCAGAAACGTCGGGGGAATAAGAGTAAAATAATGAGCAAGAAGAAAATGATATGCAAATAAAGAACAGGAAATTACTTAGAATTGCAGAATCTTCGCTTTGGAGGGTGCCTCAGATTCTCTGGTCCACTGCAGCCTCCTTTCATTTTCAATCTGGAAATGTCTTTATTGCCTTTTGCTGATTATAAAAGCCATACAGTACATGCTTGTGGTAAAAATTCACACAAGAAGGATATGGAAGCCTTGCACTGTTTCCATCCAGCAGATGTAGCCTCATTTCCCAAAGAGGGAACAGGCTCTGAGAAGCTAGTGATCATTGGAGTGCTTTTCATGGCACTAGATTTGCATCTTGGGCCAATGATGACATTAACCAACCAAATCCCTTTATAGAAAGGACTTCACTTGGTTTTAACCTGAAAGTCAGCTCATTGAAAAATTATGCTGTGTCCTGCATTGGGTGTCCTAGGGCCACTCTCTGGACCTTGCCGCTGGAGGTTTCCTGCCCCACTGGCAGTGGGCTGGTGGGAGTGACCAGAGTTAAAATCTCAGCATGGAAGGCCAAGAAAATTCCAAGCTTTTGACTGAAGGAGGGTTATAGCCTCCTTGGGGTTGCTAGAATTGACATATAAAGACACCCAATTAGGGGCCGGCCCGTTGCTCACTCGGGAGAGTGCGGTGCTGATAACACCAAGGCAACGGGTTCGGATCCCATATAGGGATGGCCGGTTCACTCACTGGCTGAGCGTGGTGCTGACAACACCAAGACAAGGGTTAAGATCCCCTTACCGGTCATCTTTAAAAAAAAAAAGACACCCAATTAAATTTGAATTTCAGATGAGCAACAATTTGTTTTTAGTATAAGTATTTCCCAAATATTGCATGTAATTTTATCAGGCAACGTTAAGCCTCCTGCCTACCAGAGAACATAGGGGTGGAGCAGCCTCAGGTAGCTGTGTGTTGACACTCAGAGTCTCCACTCCCTCCCTAGCCTGGCTCATTGTCCTTAACCCTGGTGGCCTGGCTTCTCTGTTCCCATTGCCTTTTGGAAAAATCCTCTCTGGGGTGGGGGAGGGGGTGTCACCTGGGACTGTGTGAGTGTGTGAGATCACAGAAAATGCAATAGTCTGTTTTTATATTAGGTCCCCTTGACTACAAAGAAGCATGTGACATCCTTAACCCCTTTGTTAACAACTCTTAGTACAGTACTTGTGAACCCCTTTGTACCCTAACAACTCACATGTCCTCCTGGGCCTGGATTCTCCCCTCCCCCTCCTCAGTTCATTGTCTTCTCCTGGGCTCCTCGATATATCCCCAACCTTGGTCTTAGCCAGTCTACTCTTCTTCCTCAAAACTTGTTCCTTTAGAGGGCTCAGCTGCCCTCAGAGTTTTCCGCCCTTCTTTCTATCGGGATGGCTAAGCAGGCTGGCCTGGTCTCCTTCGTGGAGGCAGGACTCAGGGCTGTCCTCTGTGAAGCTTTCCCTTTAGTCCTTGGTAAGAGCTCCCAACCTCGCACCCAGGCATCACCTTCACAGACTGGTGTGCAATTGGACTTGTTTTCTTTTTTCAATTTATATTTATTTTTTGTTTGTTTGTTGGCGGCTGGCCGGTATGGAGATCCGAACCCTTGACCTTGGTGTTATAACTCCGTGCTCTAACCAACTGAACTAACTGGCCAGCCCAATTTAATTTTTACTTCTACCATATTTCTACTTATATGAGGGTACTTCAAAAAGTTCGTGGAAAAATGGAATTGTAATATGCATACATTGCTGGTATTTTTCCCAGTTAAAAGGCAGCTTGTCATTTGTCTTGTAAAAAAAAAAGATGGTACGAATCTTGCCATGAACTTTTGAAGACACTCATTTAAAAAGTCAAATAGCACGCTTATAGGCTTATAATTCAAAAAAAGAATCCCAAAACAAAATCAATCCCTTGCCCCACATGCCCTTCCGTAGTCTCCATTCTTACTTGCAAAGACAACCACTCTTTTACAGATTTTAGATGGCATTTCTGTCATATACATCCGTATTTATATTTCTAATAACATTTCTAATTTAGATTTTCCAGTTTTTAAATCATTATCAATTGTCTCACTGTTATGGAAGAGGAGAATTACTGTCCTTTTATCTACCTCTATTACACACATTTTTCTGCTCTCTCCCTCCCAGTTTACTGAGAACATTTTGTTGTTTTTGTTACTCCAGTA